ATTAAGAATTAGTGAATTTCTATAACTTTATTCAGTAAAATATTAAAATAAATCTAGACATCTATGGTTGATTCTAAAATTGGCAACAAGCATGTGATGTGAGAATAATAAAATCAATCATAGCATGGCGCCAAAAAGATTTTTCCCCTCGACAAAATTGATAGGAAACTGAGGCACTTTAATTGCTACTTTCCTTCTTACAATATTTAAATTTTTAAATCCTTTTATCGGTTTTTTAAGATTTATTTTTAACTCGTTGTTTAAACATTAAATATATTTTTATCAATTTTATTTAATTAATTTTTTTCATACATTTTTTTTATCATTTTTCTTATTATTACTACTCTCATTTATTCACTTATAAATAATGACATATTCAAACAATACATTTCTTACATATTTATCATTTTTAATTAATTTTAACATTTTTCAAACTATATAATTTAATTATTTAAATCTTATAATAAGTGGCGCACAAAGGATGCAATGGTAATGTTAGAAATACCACTAAAATCTCGATTTTAAGAACTTGTGGGTCATACTCTATTGAACATTGTCCTTTTTATCATAGAAATTAAAGCACCTATATAGAATGAATTAATGCTAGTATGAAGAACAAGCATTTAATTTGTTTTCTTGGTAAGATCAGCCAGATTTGCATAAAAGCTAATCAAACCATCAACCACCCTGCCTCAGTAAATATTGCCAATTAATGAGATTTTGTACCTTCTATAATTCACTAATTATTGATATCAAACCCTACAAAAGTCTTGAAACAAATTTCGAAAAGAATTTAAGCTCCCTGGTCAAAAGAAGAATTTAAGCTGATTAAATATACCTATATATTTAGAATTATGGGCGGCAATTTTTTAAAGAAGATATATTTTTATAATGTTTATAAGATTCCCCTCATAATCAATTTTATTCAGGTGCAATGGAGCACTCCCCAACAAAAGTCAGCTTAAAGTTCTATGGTTTTGGAGCCAAGATTCTTGTGTCTAGGAGGCTCTTGTATTTTATCAAAAAAAAAAAAAACAGAGAGAAAGACTTTTGATGAGATATTAAAAGGAATATTCTTCGGCTATAGTAGAGATTAATATTCTTTGAGATACCAAAGAGAATAAACGAAGTTTGAAGTGGGTTAAAAATATACAAAGAAGGTGATTAGAGATCCTAATAGAAAGGATAAATTAGATAAAATTATTAAGCGTGACTTTTTATTTAACAATTTATTCACATTGAGTTATTAATATAGTACAATCACACAGTAGAGTAGAACCCAATCACACTGTCAGGCACTGTAGTGGGGGCTCCTCCCAATAATATTTTTTTCATATACACCGTTCCAGGAATCGAACCCAAGACATGATATTTAAGGTATTCAAGTCCCTTCCACTTAGACCAACATCTGTTATTAATGCTTGTTTTTATTATAGAGACTAAATAAAGCATTCCTATTAGGTTTGCTTCACGCATAAGAAGTAAATATTAAATTTTTAACTACTTAATTAAAAAAGGCTCTTACATTGATGTCATATGACTTGATGAAAAATAGCAAGAGGAGTTTTGCACAGAAAAGAGAGTGAAAAAAAAAAGGGGGCATAAAAGGCGTGGAAGTGGAACTCGCACAAATCTCTGCAATATAAAGAACCTTTGGGACATGGAGAATCTCAAAGTCATTTTGGTTTGTGGATTATGTTTAGAGAGGTGCGAGAAGCAGCAGTGGATGGGGCCCCGGGGGGGGGAGGGCAGAGTCCCAAGAAATTCTGAATGACGTGCCTCTCAAGTTAGATATTATATATTCTTCTAATCTTTAATATATAACCTAATTATCAAGTTAATTTTAATTTTAAATATAAGATATATTTATTATATTTATCAATTTTTTTTAAATTACCTCTATGGATACTCCCTTAATCATAATCAAGTAAATGAAAGAGGAATGATATTAAGAAAGATGATTATGATGTTTTAGGAAAAACATATAATATTTCTTATAATTAACTAATTTACCTAACTTTCTTAATCTAATCAAATTAGTTAAAAAAGTCTTATATTAAAGACCGCGAGAGTATTTTTCATATATTGGGAGGAAGTTGGTGATCGAATTGAATGCAAAGTGGAGGGCACATGAATGTTCCCAAACACAAAAACCATAAAAATTTATGAGAGATGGACCACTGAAGATAGTGACAGAGTAATAGCCAAAGCTTCACGTGAAAGAGGATGTCCATCCAATGCTTCACCTTCAATATCCTAATCCCATTATCCATATTGTCTACTAATCTTTTTCTACCTTTCTCGTGAACTCCTCCAACAGGCAACTATTTTGTCCATTGTCTACTTCCACCTCAGTCAAAGCCTATCATCCCTCAAGCTGAACGTTTTATCATTTATAAAAATCCGCTGTACTAGCATTTGGTTTTATTTTTCAGCCAAGCATGGGACCAACATTGCTTTCGTTTTTGTTACCCAGTACATTTACATCTGTAAATTGTAAGTCAAGAGCCTTACAAATTTTTTTTTTTCAAAACTATTCTAATGTTATGAATCCTCAAGAAGAAAGCCCTACAAGATGATTTATAAGTCAAGAGACTTGCAATGTTCTGAACCTCAATGTTTTGGACTTGAGTTCATAATACCATGTTGTGTATATATATTAAAAAGGGTTTTATTTATGAGATAACTTTTAATTCAAATAATAAATGTGATATTTTAGAAAAACCAACACATTTTTTTTTATAAATAACTAATTTTTTTAATATCTATAAATTAATTATAGGACATGAATGAGCAATATAGTCTGTGTACACCTATGAACCCTCATTAATACTCTTCCAGTCTTTAATATAAGACCCATTTAACTAATTTGATTAGATTAAGAAAATTAGGTAAGTTAGTTAATTATAAGAAAAGTGACACATTTTTCCTAAAACACTATAATCATCTTTCTTAATACCTCCTCTCCCTCTTCTACTTGATTATGATTGAGGGAGTATCTATAGGGGTAATTTAGAGAAAATTGATAAATATGAGAAATGGGTATTATATTTAGGACCAAAACCAACTCAAGAATTGGGTCCTATATTAAGGACCGGAAGAGTAATATTATTTATTATCAATGAAAAACTACACTGTAGACAAAATAGAAGTACCCAGAAAAAGGAAGAACATGGAGACCATGGCCAGTTGGCCATACAAGTAATTTCAAAGAAGGCTGGCCTCACCGTATTGCTTTTACCGTGGTTATTTCGCTTTCCGCGGTGGCTTGTGGACCTTTTCCTTCATCTTTTGCGTCGGCTGTAACACAGGCGTTGGAGCACAAAACAGGAATTTCTTTTGGGTAGAAAAGAAGAACAAGAAATTTTGCCCAAAAGCCGAAGCTCTTAGCATTTTAAAAGCATTGGACCCCTACTGCTTACTGAGGCAGCTGTATTTTAGTGGGAAGGCTAATGCTTTAAAGTTTCCATAATATTCAACTTTTTTCTTCTTTTTGGGTGACGACTCCAATACAACTTGATTCAACTTTACTCCCATTAAACCCAAGAAGATAAAAAGGTACACCAAGATATGATAACAACAATAATAGAACCAGCTTTTGAATCTTGGGTTCCTTTTTTCTTTTTAATGGAAATGTGAAGCTTCCTCAACCTACGGCAGAGCATCCCCTATTCAGATAACATAATGGAAAGGGGAAAAATCTAAAGCCCTATTCAGATAACATTTTCTTTAATTCTTTCTCATGAGAACTACTACACTTAAATAGCTGAGTGGATTAGACTCCAGAGAAATTTCTTTGGCTGTGGAGGCCCTGCTAAGTTGGCATTCTAATGAGAATATTCCCTATTGTCCCAAATGTAGAAGTGAAATAACTAATTTACAAAATATTAAAAAAATTTAGTTATTTATTTGAAAAAAATGTTAGTTTTCCTTAAATAACTCATTTAATTATTTGTATTGAAAATCATACTTCTAAATAAAAACCTCATTTAGAAAGTGTTTAGTTATATTTAAAAGCATTTAAAAAAAATATTTTGTGCAAGTCGAAATTTATATCAAATTTTATAAAATCATTTTTAAAAAACTACTCATATATACATAATCAACAGGAATAGTTTTGGGAAAAACATATAAATTTAAAGAACAAAATAAATCAACATATTATATTTAAGACTAAAACAAAACCTTCAACTAACTCCTACACATAAAAGCGAAATTATCACTCTTAACTCTTAAGCTGAGAAACAAGCCCTTGAGCTAGGCTTTTGCACCTTGGAGAACCCATAGCAAAGAGTGTAAGACAGCTCGCCAGCTTGAGTAGAGTGTGAGTAAGCGCAAGCTATGACCAATTTATCATCTTCTGTAATGAGAATTACAGCCTTTTCAACCCAGAGATCAGTCACCCAGCAGCACATTCCAACTATTACCTTAAACTTCCTTTCAAACTAATATTAAGGAACTCTAATCATTGGGAAAGGCTTTCAAACAATTGATTATTCAATAAGGCTCTTACAGATGAGTCTGTAAGAAAAATACCAACAAACCATCGTCCTTTTAAGAACGGAAAGCCAATGGCGATAATGTGGAACCATGAGACGCTAACGTAGAGAACTGCATTACACAAGAAAATTCACTTTTCCACCCATCAGCTTTTTCGACTTCACTTTTTTCGGGGGTTTATTTTATATGAAATTGCTTATATCAGTAGAATGAACGGGAAAGTTCAACTAACACCATGAACTTCGGGCCTCTGGCATATAGAATTTCTATATATCACTGTCGAGTTATAAAATTGAAATTAAGCATGGAACATTCAATTTTTCTTATGAAGCACCAAACCTTAGATAAGATATAAACCACTGCTTGCATCCGTGTACAATTAAGCTTTTTAACGGACTGTGAATTCCCTAACTTTTATATGAGTCATAATTCACACTTCAGCACTCAAGAATAATTTCAATTCAAAAATAAAAATCTAAAACTAAAACGCCATTCACAACTGCTGAAAGCAAGTGCTGGATGTCAGCATTTTTTTTTAAAATTACATGCAAAATTATTCACTGAATATCTGTTGCCTCATTGAAATGCTGCTATCTTTACTTAGCCTAAGAATCATGGCTGCATTACTATCTAGACATTAAATTATAAGTAAAATGAAGGTTTAGAAGAGTCATATTAGACACTAAGAAAATACAAAATTGTGAAGCATACCATTTGAGAGAACCTACAAACATCAGGTTATCTCAGGAGCAATTTCACTGGCTTCTATGTCGACACTATTCTCCTTACCAAATAGAGTAAAAGCCACAGTTGCCTGCAAGAAAATGATGCTTTAGTTTGCATGCTTATAGAAGAAAAATGAAGGCATGAAATTAAAATTTCACATAATTGGGAGCCTTTCCCACACTAATTTACCCCGCGCCCCCAAAAAATAATTTACACGGTAGGACAACCTTTACAGCTATTCAGAATTATATATTGGTCCGTCATTTTCATTATATCGATCTATTTTTGGTCAATTTTGTTAAGGTAACTCACTATTTTGCTTTTGCGATTCAGCTTCTTAAGAGTGCCTGTGAACCCTGCAAATGTTCCAGAAAGAACACGAACAGTTGAACCGCGCTTAGGAGTAGATGATTTTTCAGTGGTCATAGCAGAAGTTTTGCTTGACTTCCTTTTTGGCTTAGAATCAGCGTCCGATTTTAAATCACTGTCTCGTTCTAATTCTGTTTTGAGAACCTCAGATTTCAGGACTGCATTTTTCTCTCCTTCCTCAAATGCTCGGTCAGCTTTTTCTTGCTCTTCTTTTGCCTGCCTATAGACTGCTTCCATATCATCAGCAGATACTGGCTTAGGCTTGTTAATCTGCCTCTTTCTGCAAAGTGAATAATAATATTGCTTTCAATTAGACTCAGTTAGGGAAGCAGATATTATTAGAATAAGCATGGCGGTGGTGGTGGTGGGACCAAACAGACATTTGATACAAGGCGTCTTAAACTGGCAATCAAGGGTCACCCATAAGAAAATTCGGCAAAAAGGAGCAAAAAATCTTAACCTGTTAAGGTGAAACCAGATGGACAGATAGAGACACCACTCATTACTTTAGGCAATAACTTTCTAGATTGTGATAGCCCTTATCAATTTTAAATTAAAGCCAGTGTTAAACACTTGTATATCTGAAGCTATTTCTTGGCCTCTTCTTTTGCATGAGAGCTTTTAATCTAACTATGCAACAAAAATATAAAAGGCACAAGATATTAACCATTTCATTTGCCTTAATATTACTTTTAGCAATAAGTTTAATACAAACACCATATACTTACATGCTCCCAACCTTAGAACCAAGAAAGCCTCCGATACCATCATACTCTCTTATGAAGTCGTGCAGCTCTTTGTTCAGAACACATCTCAAAAAGATACAACCTGGGAATAGGGGCTTTGGTGTAACCGAGTATGAACCATTCTTTAATCTCCTTTTCACTTGGACAGCTGGAGTATAGAGCTGAAAACAAACATAAAATTCAAAAAAATTAAAATAGATTAAAAAAAGAAAACAACACAACATTTCTTGACGTCATATTTCTCATATATTTTGTTTTCACATCTCACCAGCTAGAAGAGGTGTTTGGTAACCTTTCTGCTATAATTTCATGATTCATTGAATTCATTCATATAATCAAACTAACGTACAAGATACCTACTTTAGATCTTAAACCAACTCAACTAGAAAAGGAGGAAAAAAACTAAAGGTTAATTGAGAACCCAAGAAATGAACTTTGTCAACCTTTCTTCTTTTTTCTTTTGACGAAGCAACGGTTCTTTGCTATTATTTCTCAGTATATTTTCCGTTTTCATCTCATTATCTGGTAGGGCTATATTGATCTGAAATAAGTTACTTTAACAGAAAAACAATAAGCTATAAATTGTAATTCTCTATCACTTACTCATGCAACCCGATAGATTAAAAGCATGGATCATACACTCAACCATAAAATTGAACAAGCTTAGGAGTTACTCAATTCACATCTCAAATTAATCCATTAAAAGCCTATGAAGAAAATTTAAGATTACTCGAGAACCAAAAAGATAAAAAAATAAAAAAGGAAAACTTTCAAAGTTTTTGTGAAGAAAGAGGAAGCAGCATTTCTTAATCATTACTGCTAATACATTTTGCCATGAGCTGGAAGGAATGTTAGTGTTCTCACTTAAATTAGAAATCAACAAGCTAGGAATTTCTGTTCTTTATAACTCATTCAGAGCAAAAGTGTAAAAGCATTGGTGATGGAATTCAACTAGCCTACAATTTATCCATTTCGCATCTCAATTTATCCATCTTAAGCGGAAGAAGAATGCTGAAGTAATAGCGAACCCAAAATGTGTATCAGTATCAGAATTCTGGAAAGAAAGGAAACATCTCTTCATTATTATTGTCCAGTATATTTCATTTTCTCATCACGTTAGCAGGGTGTTTGGTATTGTCAATTCAACAAAAAAAAAAAAGGCCTTTAAATCTTCGTGATTCATTTAGATAAGCAAATAGAGTGAATAATATGATCTTAAATTTGAGGTAGCTGACGACAAAAGGACCAGCTTCACAGCTCTTAGTAAATACTTCATTTAGGATGGAAGACGAGGAATCAGGTTTAACCAAAAACCCAGAACAACAATTTGAATTTATAGCACTTAATATGATCAGTTCCATAACATTTCTCAGTTGAACAATTCAAAAATCTAAACATGTTTATTTTTATAATTCATCCATGCCAAAAATAGAGTAAAAGCAATGGTCATGAGATGGAAGTAGCCTACAACATATCCATTTCAAAGTATGACACTAAGTTACCTTGAACTCTACATCAGGGAAGTTCCGAGCCAACGAGCGAGCTAGAAGTTGGGCAGTGTCCTGACCCCTGACCCGAGATCCCCGAATAACCCACCATTGGGGACCCAATTTAGCGAGGTTATCGAGGTTAAGTTCCTCGGTCCAAGAAGTTTTCTTCTTCTTGGGCTTCTTGATGAGCCTCTCTTCCACCTCTTCTCTCCAATTCGTAGTGGTTTTGCTCTCTCTTCTCTCATTTCTAAGACGCCTTCTCTCTCTAGCCGTGAGCTCTTGAGTATCGGTAGAATCAAGCGAAGCGGAAATAGATAGGCAAAAGCTTCTGGCTTGAGGAAAGTTGAAAGAGAGAGAAGGGAGAGAAGGTGGTGAAAGAGAATGGAAGCAAGGATTCCATAGCAGAAGCCCCTGCTTCATCTTCTGCAGACAACAAGCGCAGTGGGTGGATTGATAAGGATTAATGAGCTGTTTTAATTTTCCATATTTTTAATCTTATTTGACTGGCCTACATTTATGAATTACATCATTGTCTATTGACAACATGGGAAAAAAATTTTGGGTGGGAGGATTAATTTGAGGATGCAAATAACATGTTATTTATAGATAAAAATTTTAATCTTTTTCTCCATGTAGTAATTAAAATAAGATAAATAATTTGTTATTTAATAGTCAACTACAAAAATTTTTACTTATTAATAAGTTAAATAAACGTGAGTGCTAAAAACTCTATTTTAAACTAAGTAACTAAAATACCCTTCCAGTTCTTAATATAGGATCTGTTTAACTAATTTGATTAGATTAAAAAAATTAGGTAAGTTAGTTAATTATAAGAAATATGACATGTTTTTTTTAAAATACATAATTATCTTCTTTAATATTTTTCATCCCTCACTTATTTGATTGTAATTGAAAAATATTCACGAGACAATTTAAAAAAAACTGATAAATATAAATATGAAAAATAAATATTATATAAAATAAAAATTAACTTAATAATTAGATATTATATTAAATATCATATAAGTATAAATTTTATCCGAAAAAACTTGACTTTCTTGCGGAGGGAAAAACGAGACTTGCTAAGCGAAAATAACAGCTGACCAAGAAAAAAAAATTATGCGCAAGCTTCTCCCGCTTTGTTTTCCAAATTACATTTTTGACCTTAGCAAAGTGCGCATTGTAAATTCACAATTGCGGTCCGTTTAGTTGTTTGCCGCCAAAACGCCCAAAACACACAGAATTCAGCTTTCGCACATTCGTTCCAAAAATTTCAAAAACCTCCCGCGTTTCTTCTCAATCTCATCTAATACATTTTGTTCCATTCTCAGCCCAGATGCATAATACAGTCCTGATACCTTCCCTTTTCCCTCTTTCTCCGATCTCTATCTTCTTTGACCACCACTTTCTTCTCAGCTGCTGCCTCAATTCTCTCGAGAATGGGGAAGCAATCCAAACCCAGAAAGCCCGAGGCCTTCGGAAAAGGGAAGGTCACTCCTATCCAGATCGCGTTCATTGTCGACAGGTACTTATGCGACAACAATTACTCTGAAACTCGCTCCATTTTCAGAAACGAAGCTTCATCTCTCATTGCCAATTCTCCAATGCAGGAGGTACGTTGGCTCATTTGCTTCTTCTGCCAATTTTTCTGTTTTCTTCTCTCTTAGATCTGTATCTCATGTGCGTTCTCGTGCGCGTTATTTATATATTCTTGTGCCCTATACCCGTGTTGTTATCGGAATTTCATGAGGAGCCGGTCTTGATTGAGATTCTTTTCTTTTCTTTTTTTTTGGTGGTACCAGGCACCCAAGACGCTGTTGAGTTTGGGAGAGATGTTAGACGAGTATATCTGCTTGAAGGAGCAGAAAGTCATACTGGACCAGGAAAGGGTCCGTATGGATCAAGAAAAATACAGAGTTCAGATGTTATTGCAAGGTATGCAGAATGTGATGACCGCTTATAATGCAAGTGGGAACCTTCCTGGTCCAGCACCAAACCTCCCAGCACCTGCCGCAAAATCTATGGCTCCTCAACCTCAGATTACTAACAAATCTCCCTCCGGTACCATTCTATGCCTAGTAATTGATATTTATTGCGACCGATAATTATAGAGATTGTTTAGAAGTTCTATGATTCAGACATTTTCGTTAATTAATGTATATACATTTCCTGGCTGGTCAATATTCAATTACGGGTGGAAATTTGATGTTTTTTATTTGTGTTAGAAGACATGGTTGATATTATTAATGAAATCTCAGTTTATGACTCAAGTTCTTCAGTTGAACTGCATTTCTGAAGTGTTGGGTACGCTAAAGTTGGTGTTTTCTTTAGACATACTTCGTTAATGACAGTTAACGGCAACTCATTAGCATGTGCTTGTGTTACCTAGATTTTGGTTCTTCAAGGAGTTGGAAACTTTGTATATAACTACAGCTTGTTTGGGGAAAAAGGCGGGGAGTGGTTGCTGGGAAACTCCTGCTGATTTGGTTGTGCTGTAGTCTATATATTTTGTTTACTAGAGCGTTTACATTCAGTTGCAATTGAAGGATGTCAGCTCCTTTATTGTTTTATACTTTTGTTTGTTCAGCGATGTGTAAATTTCGCTAAGTTATGATCCTCTTTGCTTGTTAAATAGGTATTCCTACTCCTATGCAAAGCACAATGAATATACAAACCCGGCCTCAGTCTACCATCACTCAAGCAGAGGCAACACATATGATGAATCCGTCTGACAGAAAGAGAAAGGATACTAAAGCCGTGGATGCCCCTTCAGCTGCAAAGAAAACACGTGGTAGATCTTCTGTCCGGAAAATTCCAAGCCTAGGTATAGCTTTCTCGTGACTCGGAATGTAAGAATTATATTACTACATGCTAGTATCTCAATTTACTCATACATTTCTGCTTTAACTTCATTTTCAGGTCCAAACACATTACCCCAATCCGATAATGCTGCGAATGATCAAGTAGTTGCTCAGCCCTCTTGTGCTGGTCAGTCATCACCTGACAATTGCATGCCGAATGGGACACAGGTTCAAGGATCTACTGTTGCTAAATGCTTATTCAATGAGCCTTCACATGCGATTCCCACCAATTCGCCAATTCTAAAGACGCCTCCCAGAGCAAATTCCTCTCACAGCGACACACACGTATCTCCGCCTGAGATTTCTTCAGTTGCAAATCGCAACAAAAGCCATGCTTCTCGGGAGATTACACCCACACGTTGCACTGTAATTTCGACCAAAAGAGTAATGGTCAGTCCTGCAAAACAGATGGCGTACATAGAAAGACGCCATTGCATTTCTCCTCTTAAACCGGAATCAGAGAAGACGAGTAAAAGGGAGCATGTAAGGAGCAGGTTGGACTTTGATGGCTCTGATATGCCAGAGAGTTTGGACAAGCCATTATCTAATGACATGTCTACTTCTGAGTCTGACAAAGAAATAGACATGTTTGACATTGATTTTCCTAACTTAGATGCATTGGGAATGGATTTCTCGTTTACTGAAATGTTAGGTGAACTAGACTTTCATTGTGAAGGCATTGACTTTTCTTGCGACCCAACATCAAACCTGTCCGAGGATAATGCTTCAGGGTATTGTTCTGTTCGAATTTATGATTCTCTTTTATTGTTGATCAAAGTTTTCTATCTGATGTTTTCTCATTATATAAACAGGCCATCTAATGAAGGTGATCAAACTAACCAAGTCACGTCCGAATTATCTCCAAGTGCGGCAGTTCTATCAGAGAAGGAAATGAGCGCACAAGGTACTAATAAATGAAACTCATTTGTGTCTTAATGATTTTTATATGAGCTAGAGTTTACTCAACCTTCCATTTCTGCAGGTCCTGATTGTTTGACTGCAATGAAATCTGTCACAAAATGCATAACAATATTAAGCCCTGGTAACTTCTTTCTTCAAAAGTCCTGTGACTTTTGAATGACTTCTAATTTTGGAATATTCTAATTTTTCTATGTTAAATTTGCAATATTGCATTATTACATATTACATTATTAACTCATTACATTTTGCCTACAGTGAAAGACCGCCAGCGGCTTCTGGATCAAGAGGACCCTGCTAGAGACTGAAGATGTAAAGAATAACTCAGACTGACTTGGCACCTGTGCTTGCTGCAGGATATTCTTTTGTTCATTGTTCCGAAGGATGGCTTCCTGCAGTTGCTCTTGTTCATGACAACTCATTCATTTCCACCTCAGCTTAGGAGATTAGCCTAATTTAGATTAATTATATTTTGATGGTAACCATGCTTAGCCAACCAGTATGTTTAGATTATCCGAAATTGATAAATTATTGTATACAGTGTGTTAAGAAGGGATCATGAGAAAAACAAGAAGTGCATTTGATATACACTCTGGTATTATATATTCAAAAGTTTTAGCAGCGGAGTCCTTAACTTCATTCAAAATGTTGGTTTGGTTTTTCCCTTGCATTCTCCAGGAAATGCTGAACCGTGAAAGGAATCTGCTTCCAGGCTGAATCAAGACAATCAGGCCTCCCTTGATAATGAAAGGCAAATTCATTATTATTCATATATTTTTAACAATTAAAAAGTTGACGTGCGTTATACTTCAAGATTAAGGTATATTTCACGATTTTAAACTCGTTTAAAAAAGATTCACATTTTTTGTGAAATGAGCCAAATTCTTCTGAGAACATTCTTTTCTAGCTATTATTTGTAGTTGTAGATTTTATTCATGAGTGATTACATCATGAAATAAATTAGAATTTCCAATTTTTTTGAGGCTTGAATACTTGGAAGTTGTGACAAAATCCGGTTAGAGAATCTATGAGTTCAGCTTATAAAGAACAGTTTACGGTGGGGTCTATTTGGTTTGTGGATGTATTTATAGATGTACGAAATTATTTCTTGAAAGTGATGTACTTTTATGCTTGGTTTGGTTTCCATTAAAAGGGGGAAAAAAACAGAGAGCCTTTCTGCTTTTATAATAAACATCATATTAATAATTTACCAGACAATCTGCGACTATAAGCACATCTATTTCTTTGAAAATTTTTCTCATTTCATCTTTTTATTACTTTTCGATTGGTGGTGTTGCCCTCAAAATGATACTTTCTTGTTTTTGAGAGGTCCGAGTCTAATACTCTTTCGTTTGATTTGATTAGATTAGAATGCACTACCTCCAGTCTTAATTACAAGAACTAATTGGTTAAGTTGAGAAGATTAAAAAATAAGTTAAGTCAGTTATTTGTAATAAATAGGTGTGGTCGTTCCTAAAATATCATTGCTAATCAAGTGTATTAATTAGGATTATTATTATTAGAAAGACTACCTTGAAAAAAAATACATAAATATAATAGAAAAAATAGATTGAGATATTATATTTAAAACCAAAATAAAAGTCAAACAAGATCTTATATTGAGAATAAAGGTAATATTATAAATGAGAGGGGGTTAATCTTTCTGTTTCACTGCTACGTACATAGACTTTTGAGTTAGAAATATATTGATTCAGTTTTCTTTTCTTTCTTTTTTTAAAATAAAAATGATACTCCTCCGGTCCTTAATATAGGACCCAATGTTTTAGGTTTGGTCCTAAATATAAGACCCATTTCTCATATTTATCAATTTTCTCTAAACTACCTTTATAGATACTCCATCAACCATAATCAAATAGAAGAGGGAGATGAGGTATTAAGAAAGATGATTATGGTGTTTTAGGAAAAATGTGTCACTTTTCTTATAATTAACCAACTTATCTAACTTTTTTAATCTAATCAAATTAATTAAATGGGTCTTATATTAAGAACCGGAGGAGTACCATTATAACCGCACAATTTTTTGGATGAATCCTACATTATTCTGAAACCAAAAAAAAGTTGATTACAACATATGAAAGTTTTTCAGTTGACAGTGACATTCAACTTGATTCGTATACTATAGTACCCCCCTAGGCACAAATGTATGATGGATACTCTATGGTGGGATGCTTTTTGGATATTCCATTTGTATGGTTCTGATGAAATTTATGTACAGTTGTGCCTGGAATAATAAATAAAAGATCTGGAATCATTTTATCAGACAAACGACGAGCTTGGACCTTCTGGGGACCAATTAAAGAATGAAATAAGGTAGACACGTAAATTCATCCTTCAAAAACACTTTTTGAGTGAACATTGCTTTACAAGGTTTGGGTTCAGCATATAATGATGATAAACAAGACATATATGAATTAAGCTAAATACTTCTCCACCTTCTCCACCTCTTCTTTGCTCCCGATGTACAGCGGAACGCGCTGATGGACCTGTTCCAAGAAAAGGAAAATAAAAGTAAATACGAACATCCTTGCATTATGTTTACCTACTAGAAAACAGCAAAATCGTCCAAAATAAGTGAAAGTGAAACAAAAGAAAATAAGGAAGGAAGTTTACTATGTAGTCCCACATAACCAACTTAATTACTAAAAGGTCTTTTTTAGTTATGGGTATGCCATGAACACTTGTTATTTTCTACACTAGATCTTGTTATTACATACTGCTTACTTGTTTTAAAACTTTGTAGTGATTAAATTACTTAAATGAAACTGTAAGGTAATTCTCCCGAGAAGGAACTTACTTCCTGAGGTTCAATGTCAAGTATTCTCTTGTGGCCATCAGAACCTTTGCCACCAGCCTGCTCTACAATGAAGCTCATAGGAGCACACTCATAGAGCAACCTCAGCTTCCCATTCTTGCTCTTCTTGTCTCTTGGATACCCATAAATGCCTCCATATAGCAAAGTCCTATGGAAGTCTCCTACCAAGCTGCCAATGTACCTTGCCGAATAGGGTTTCCCTGAAGGACCAGGGTCCTTCAAATCGTCTATGTACTTCTTCAACTTGTCATCCCACAGCTGGTAGTTCCCTTCATTGAAGGCATAGATTTTGCCAGCTTTTGGGATCTGAATGTTCTCTTGTGTTAGAACAAATTCGCCGTACATGGGATCCAACGTAAAACCAAACACTCCTTGTCCCAGTGTGAGGACGAAGATGATGGAGCTTGAGTACATGCAGTATCCTGCTGCTAACAGGTTGCTACCTGGTTGGCACACGTTCACTACGCATCTTTGTTCTGCTGTGCCCAGCTGCAAAAAATCAAACGCAAATCAAAGACTTAGAATATTTGAGGCATGGATGAGTTTTTGGGTTTCTTGGGAAGGAAGAAACTAACGGTGGAGTCTTCGTCGATGTCGGCGAGGCACTCGTCGTTGGGGCTGTAGATGCCGAAGATGGAGCCCGTGGAGACGGCAGCATCAATGTTGGAAGAACCATCGAGAGGATCGAAGACGACAATGTAGTTTCCTGAATAGCTCTCTTCCACTGCCACTGGCACGTCCTCTTCCTCTGATGCTATTATCCCTGTCCTCCCACTTGATCTCAGGCAATTCGAGAATACCTGAAATTTTGATCATTATCAACATTAACATATTCAAAGAACCTAAATTAATCTATATTGTATAATATGGTATCATGTGAACTGAGAATTCGATCCTTGAATTGTTATGTTCCTATGACTTTATTCTCAAAGATAATTAATGATGAGCACACTAATTTCCCGTTCTGCATTACTCAGTTCAATATTTTGGTGATTGATAAAACAGTCTTGTTAAACACATAAGAAAATTTTAAAGTTTATCTTTCAAAAAGAATCTATACATGAGAATGCCAGATTATTCATTTGGTTTGCACTATCATAGAGAAAAAATGAGTACAAATAAATAATAACAATTGAACTCATTAGAATATAAAGAAAAAAAATTTAAGTGATTAATGGCCGGGGTTGGCCAAAACTGAGAACCATCGTTGGATTCCCCGAACGGAATATACATATATGTTTAAGAATATGATTGTTTTGCAGAAGGGCGAAAGCACAAACCTCGTTGGAGACGACGTCCAATTTCTTCTGATCTTCTCCTTGCACATTTGTGGCGCCCTGAATCCCTGTGAGGTTCGATATGTTGGCTCTCTGAACCAGAGACGCTATTTGCTTGCATGCCATTGATATGCTCGACAACACTATCGTCAGCTCTGCGTCAATCACCCCTGCCACCTCTTGCTTCAGCAGCCACCCCGTCAGCGTCTCAATCTCATACCCGCTCTTCTTCTTCGTCCCCGCCGTCGCCTCCGCCGCCGGACCGGACTCACCGCCGTACATCTGAATCCGCCACTACCCACTTGATTCTTCCTGCCGCTGCTGTGATTTGAAGCAGAAAGATCTGATTTTGGGTCGAAGACGCATAACTGCAAGGGGCAGAGACGAGTGGGAGAAACAGAGGAGGACAAAGAAGAAGAAGAAGAAGAAGAAGCGGATTTTGAGAAAACCAAGTGTGAGTATGCTGTCGCTGCTGCTACGGCAACCATTGTTATGGCTTCTTCTCTTCTTCTTCTTCGGGATTCTTCTTTTTCCTTTTTTTGTGAAGATTTTTGAGCTTGGTCTGGTACTGAGTTAGTGTGTTGATTTTGTTTGTGGAGATGTTAAGAGTGGGAAGAGATTGAGATTTGTGAGGTGGTGGGCATGGATCTGTGGTAGTTAGGGTCCCACTTATCATCCCCATATCTCATTTTCAAGAATTTGTGATTAGAATTGCTTCGAGAGGCCAACTAGACTGCCACGATGGATTGTCAATATCTCCGCAGTGCATCCAAGTGTGAAGAAAACTGTCCTTACACACTGGTTTTAGGACGACATCAGCTTGACCTCTTTTATACATTTTCATTCGTACAATATTATTTATTTGAATGGAACAATGTAAGTATTTTAAGTGACTGAGCTGACTCAATTTAACTGAACGAGATTGTTTATAAGAAGTTAAGCCCGATTTATTAGAATTAATTTTATATTGTGAGTTCAAGTTTTAATACTCTATCAGAGAGTTCAGTATTTATCAAATCTATTCCTAAAAACGTTTTCGTTAAAATATAAGTATTTTTATATTAGAGATAATTCTATTCAAGATACTATCAGGCATTAAACGTGGGTACTTCTCCTAATGAAGATTCAAACCTGGGTTTGTTATATTGGGAGAAACTAACCTCTTCTACTAAACCCTGATAGTGAGTTTCTCATTCTTTAACCGAAAAAATGTGTGGCCATGAGATAGGGATTAAGAGGGAACTTTTACAAAATTTGGGCGGTCCATTTTGCTTTGGAAGTATGCTCAAGCTTTAACTATGTCCTGTTCATGACTGGGCCTCACGGAAACTAAAGCATATGGATCCGTCTATGAACGTCCCAAATCAGAACTCTTCGTGGAAATTTCTGATAACCAAATAAATGAAGGCTAAGGTTTAATTTTACCCCCAGAGTTTTTGAAACCGAGTATAGTTATGAGTTTTTGTTGAATCAGTATCATTTTAAAAATATTCCAAAAACGAAGAAGTAAAATCGTCCTAACCATTTAAAAACTAATGCTAATCTTTAATATTTTTAGCAAATAGAAACAATACTGCTCTTTTCTTACACTTTCTAATTAAGCAATATTGATCTACCAAAATCTTTAGCATGCCCCTAACTTTTATGTGAAAAATTTCTTAACAAAATTGGACATTAACCCAATAAATAACCTTCAGGATTCAGGCCTAAGGCCTGAACTTGATGAGTAATAATACATTACTTATCTAGTTATTGTTCTAGTTTAATATAAAGTCTTCGTTTTGAACTTCAGTGTGATTGTGAATGTGTACGTTTGCTATATTTAAAATCCCCCTCATTTATGACAGATTAGTATATCATCATCATTTTATATGACGTATAAGATGATCATATCATACCCTTATCGTATATAACAATCGTTATAGTCATTATGAATAAGACATGTAGAGAATTTAATAAAGGGGGAGGTTAGTGCAGAATACACGCAACTATGGTCATAATAATCTAAATATTTTCGTGTTCCAAGTTAATCATTCTTCATTACCCAGACATTAAAACAATTCACCATTTCTTCAGGGCGGCCAGTGATTTGATTTCATCGCATTTGCAAAAAATGAATTTGTATGCTACTTTGCTTTCATCTAGCTGGAACAATATTGTAGAAAAATAATTAATTGACTACTGTTTTAGACCACGACGTATTGTATACTCTTTTTTGTGAAAAAAATAATAACAGGCCCTGACCAAATACAACAAAATTCATAAAAAAAATAATGCATACAAAAATTCAAATGCGTGAGCATATGTATTTACGTACAGAAGGAAGCAAACAACGTAGAAGATTAAAAACAAAAAAAAAAGTCAAGGATTGATCTTCTGCAAATTAGGAAAGGATGGAACAAAGTCAAGGAACTTAAAGTTTGAAATTAAAAAAAGAAAAAAGAAAAGAACGATGAGCAAGGCACAGTGTATATCATACGTCTAGCAAAATTGAACCTTAGCATTTTCCACGAATCATAATTAATTTCATGATCATGTCAGTCCTCCCACAGACTTAATTACCCTAGTAATTAACATTCTACTCCTTTAATCTTATTTATAAAGCACTTCCAGCATATTTAATATAGATCAAGAAAAACTTTAAACTGTATTAACTCTTTATTAGAATACAACTTTATAAATTTACTACTATTTAGTATATACACCTTTCAAAAAATTAACTATTAACACTATAATAAATGAAAGATAAATAGAATATTCATGCTAAAATTTTAATGAAGTGATTTATAAATAAGTCCAGAAAAATTTTCTTTCTACCTTAAAAATAAGAGCGGAAGGGTATTATATACTGCATAATTATAAGTACTCCTCCGGTCCTTAATATAGGACCCAATTGTTGAGTTGGTTTTGGTCCTAAATATAAGGCCTATTTTTCATATTTATCAATTTTTTATAAATTACCCCTATGAATACTCCCTCAACCATAATCAAGTAGAAGAAAGAGAGGGGGTATTAAGAAAGATAATTATGATGTTTTAGGCAAAACGTGTCATATTTCTTATAATTAACTAACTTATCTAACTTTCTTAATCTACTCAAATTAGTTAAATGGGTCTTATATTAAGGACCGGAGGAATAATAGATATATTAGTCCTATTAACCAATAATTTTTTCAAAATAAAATTTATCAATTTCTAAAGGTTGACTTTATTTTTTTGATATAATATTTTGTTATTACAGAAGCTCTTGTTTGAAAGAAAAAGTCTTCTGCTACTATTATTTTGAAAAGAGAAAATAAATAGAAGCTTCGGTTTCGACATCAACATATAACATCAAGATAATTTTAATTATTAATGAAAGCAAAATCAATTGATTACTTGAGAATCAAACAAGATAATAGCCAGCATATATGCGGATAAAGATAATGAAGTGGATATTATATTAATTCCAATGATGTGAACCGGTCAAGTAATGTGGCAGAAACAAGAGGCTAACTGTTTGCCCTTTATTACTACGCTACCTCTCTTCCCAATCAAACAAATGAAATTAGGAACCCACATCACAAATATACAAACGAATACACAAACAATAATCTTTATATCATTATTCATTTTACTTTAAACTCGAACGTTATATATGGGTATGCATATATAAAATGATGATTTTGTATATATAGTTGATGGACTTAGCACTGAGTGGGAAGATCAGCTGGAGGAGGAGGAAGTGTAGTTTCAGGTGTTGGTCCATTCTCAACCTCAAAAGCCATTGTAAGCCCCCAAGACAAGTGATTATCAATATGACAATGCACCAACCATATTCCTGCACATATGTATACCAGAAAATTGATTAGGTCAACTATAAATTGATAATACAAGAATATGTCTGATGATATATTGATAATTAAATGAAAGGGATGATCAAAACCTGGATTATTCGCTTGGAATCTGACGACGGACCAGCCTGCGAATGGAACAGCAACTGTGTTACGAATCTGAGGATCCACAAGATTGAACTGGGATTCATCTCTTGAAGCGTTGTAATTGCCAGTCCCTTGAGCCAAAACATGGAAATTGAATCCATGAATGTGCATAGGATGGTTCTCAGCCGCCAGTATGGCTGTGTTCTGAAACACAATCTGCACTGTCGAGTTGAATCTTAACGTCTTGACCTTGGTGGATTTCGGAGCAAAGGCTAAACTTAGATTATTGTTAAGACTTGGATCAGTGTAATCAAACACCAAAGGAGGATTATCTGGAAAATCTTTGGTGTAAACTCCAGTAGTAGCATTTCTGTAGAATGCATCCAACATGGAGAGTCCTCGTCCACTGGGTAACACGAAAGATTCATTGTTCATGCTCGAAGACAAGCGCAAACCAGCCGGTCCCCGACATGTGTCATTCGGTAGGTTACAGAAGTCAAGAGCGAGTCCGACAGTGATGAACATGTGTTCGTTCACGTCTTCTGGAACGGGGACCCAGTGGGGGCCGCCAGCTAGCCCTGTGATGCTGAGGTAGAAATTGTTGGCCGTTTGTGTGTCGTTACGGACGGGTAGGATTGGCATCAGGGGTGTGGTTGAGGTGGATCCGTTGTAAACGACAATGCCTACTGTGGTCGTGTCAGCCACGGGAGTCACCGACTCATTTAGGGTACTGTAAGGAGTGGCCGCCATAAAGTATGAGCCGACCGTTTGGTTGGCGGTGAGGAGGGCGTCGACGGTTTGGCCTGGCGCCACCACGATGATATCGGTGTGGTAGTGATTCGTATATGCGGCGTCGACGGCGACTACGGTGAAGGTGTGACTTGCTATCTTGAAGAAGAGGTGTTCATTGAGTGCAGCATTGATGATTCGCAATAAGTAGGTGTTTCCCTGTTGCACCTCAAAGCGGAATGTCTCTGGAATGTACGAAAATTAAGATCATGGTAAGACAAAAGCAGCAAATATATATACAACTAGCATGCTTAATATAAAAACTTATTTAACTTTTAATTTGGTCATAAATATAAGATCTCAATCCATTTTTTCTTTTATATTTATTTATTTTTTAAAAAGTAGTCCTTATAGTAGTTAAACATGTTAAATGTTTCATCAAATGGTAATTCTAGCTAATATATATTATCAACAAAAGTATTTTAGGAAAAATAGCTATTTATAATAAATAACTAATTTTCTTAATCTCCACGAATTAGTCAACTAGGTCTTATATTAAGGACTAGAAATTATTGATAAGGTCGAATGTTTGACTTACGATTTTGGGAGCAATTATAGAGAGCTCCAGGCAAGCCATTAATGGTGAAAGCGTCGGATATATTGGGAGCACCACCAAATTCCACTGCTTCCTCCTCAACTTCTATCACATTAGCATTCCACCACTCACCTGCTCATCATTGACAATGTCTTTTCATCTTTTCAAATGATTTTTTTTTAAGGAGGAAAAACTAAATATTAATAACTAAATATACAGACCCAATACTATGGGGACTTCTTGGTGAGGTGTAGGGAAAGGGTAAGAGTTTCCCAGGCGAGGGCGAATGATGAGGGCCCCATAGACCCAAGCACGAAGGAAAGAAGAGTGGGCATGCCACCACAGAGTTCCTTCTTGTTGTGTTACATTAAATCTGTAAGTGTAGTTTCTTCCTGGTAGGATTGCACATTGCGTTACAAATTCAGGACCATCTGCCCATTGACTCATCAGCTGAAGTATTCCATGCCTGCGTTTTATAATATGTTATAAGCAAAATCTCATATAAATTATAACATCCAAAGCCAAATTTGCTCCTATAACATTGTATTGATCTTCAATCATTCCTCACCTAAATTTTAATAAAACCTTTACATTGATCAACGGCTTCCCCAGGTCAAAAATTAAAAAAAAAAAAATGAACGGCTTCCTGCAAACTTCAAGGTAGAGAGACGAGAATGAAACTCTCTGCCGAACTGTAATAGTCTATTAAATCTGGTCTATTTAATTTTATATTTTGTAATTGGGATTATTTTTGAGGATGACCAGGTGGACAAAAAATTGAGATTTTAATCTGTTAGAAAAGAAATAAACACAGACGTGTATTCGATAGGGAAATTTTAGAATAACCGTAAAAGCTATTTCATGAAAGTGATTTATATAGCAGAAAATGTTATCAGATAACTATATGTATTAGTCAATTCTTAAGGTCAAACTATATGGTGTCTTTATTTTTTCCTCTAACGTGTAACTTCTTAGTTAAGATTAGATAGATCAAGTTGACCGAGGGGAGATCGTCAGAGAAAGCGTAGAAATAATCGAACAGATACTGTTTTTCCCCCCTTTTTACTGCAAACACAAAAAAGCTTATTATATCTATTTATGTATATACCAATGAATAGTGAGGTTGTAGGGTGACTTATTGACGGCGTGGACGATAACAGTGTCACCCTCTCGTACGTTAATGGTTGGTCCGGGCAACATTCCGTTAACTGCAGCTATTTCTGTTTCTTCGCAGAGTCTCTGCATTGTCACGTTCGCTACCTGCATGCATCCAATCACATATCGTACTTAACAATAATACATATATGTGTTTATATGTCAGGTATTCTAGCAAGAGGAAGAACACAACCAGCCAAACTGATACAATAATTAGATTGCTAAATGTTAGGACAGCAATAAAATTGTAACAAGACGAGTATAACTTATTCTTTTTCTAAGGCCTCACTTATATATCCTGTTTCTCCCGTCTTTGTATATAAATTTAAATAATTCCCCCCCCCCCCCCCGATTTCACCTATCTCAGTAGAGAACCCATGCGCATAGTAGAAATTAAGTATGATAGCAGAGATTTTAAGTATATAGTCCATGAAAGAGATATATAAGAAAATGAAGGAGCTTTAAGCACTTACTTCCCACGTGTATTCGACTACATCAGCAGAAACCAAAGAAGAAGAGGAAGCTAGAAGGGCAAGAGTCCATGCCAGAGATAACAATGAAGAAGTTCTCATGATGAAGATCACAGGGAGATCGAGATATGGAGCTTTGTATTTTAAGAAGCTGTCTCATTGATGTTATACGTTTATCTTTATAGAGTCCCAGACTAATGTGATTGCGTGTGTAATATAAAAATCCAATGGGCTTAATTAGATCGAAATAAAACGGTCCTTTGAATTTTCGACGCATTACGTAACATGAACATCTATCATCTTTCAATAAAATTGTTTTAAATTGGTAAAGGACGAAGAAAATGACATGGAGGAAAAAAAAATATGGTAATTAGCTTGTCAGATATTTTTATTATGCTGTTATCGTAGACTTTGAATTTCGAGGGGCTTTTGACTCTGAGATATATTATGGGTTTGGTACCAAATTTAATTTTACATATGCTTCCATATAGCAATCGCGTTCTACACCCACACACACTTTCCTGGATTCAAAATGAGGGAACATCAACTTTTACCAGTTCAAATAAAAGTATGATAAGCAACCATAAAGTTTTTGGAAAATTGTGTGTGTGTCGTATGTGTACAATGGTCAATAATCTTAATTTGTCTTGGTGTGCAAGAGAAGAAGAAACTGAAATAATAATGGAGGGGTCAATTTCAGTTTTTAACAAATTTGGCAAGAGATTTTATTTCGTCGAGTGGAGACGATTCAAAATAGGCCACAGTAATTTTACTAAAAAATATTGTCATAAATACATTGTGTGTTCAAGCTATATAGGTTTCTGCCTACAGCTAGCTATTGAGTAAATTATACATTTTTTTTTCAAAAAAGAAATAGTGGGTTTTTTTTTTTTGTTTCAGAAAATTTACGTCGTGTATGTATATTAAATTTTAAAAAATTACATCGATTCTGAAGATAAATTAAAGAAAAAAATGTAGACTCCGTTTGTGTAATTGTATTTTTTATTGGCGTTCTCACAAACTTACTGTCATAATTAACATTTTATTCTTTACTATGCATTATATGGGTTATAATTGGATGAATTTTGGTCCGGGACCACTCTTGCTTGGTTGGCTAGACTTTAAACCGCCAAGTTTGAAGTTTCCTTATATTATATTTTCAAACATTATGATATTCTTTACACACATGCATATATTTAATTTGCTGTTACGTCTGAGCCATTAGCTAATCATATAATTTGGGTATTTTGTCGTAACTTTTCGTTCATGATTTGGTATTTTACCCAGAGATCTACCTTAATTAGCAATAATAGACACATATATATTTGTGCATTCACCTCTAGAAGTGACAAAAAAATTTATAGTAGAGTCCTAAATCGGTAGTTTTTTAATTTCTAAGAATTGATTTGTTTTTTAATATGATATTTGGCTTGCGATTACAGAAGCTCTTGTTTGACAGAAAAAGTTTTATGCTCCTAGTATATTTGACAATAGAAAAATAAATAGAGGCTTAGACTTCTAGACCCACATATAGCATCAAGATAATGTTAACTACCAATGAAAGCAAAATAAATTCATCAATTGAGAATAAACTTAAAGAAGATAATAACTAGCGTACAGGTAAAGGTAAACGAAGTAGATATTATTAATTAATTTCAATTCATTGTTGTGAACAAGTCAGGTAATGTGGTTGAAAGAAGGGGCTAAACTGTTTGCCCATTATTACACTCTCTCTTCCCAAACAAACAAATCAAATGAGGAGCCCGGCCACAATACACATATACAAATGAATACACTTAGCTTGAAACAAATATTTATTCATTTATGTTATTTTAACTCCAATATATAAATGGGCATTGATATAGAATGATTTTGTGTATATATAATTATTGATGGACTTAACACTGAGTAGGAAGATCAGCTGGAGGAGGAGGAAGTGTAGTTTCAGGTGTTGGTCCATTCTCAACCTCAAAAGCCATGGCTAACCCCCAAGTCAAGTGATTATCAATATGACAATGGACCAACCATATTCCTGCACGCACATATATATACAAGAAATTAATCAGTACATTAAACAAGAAAATGTCGGCCATATTACTAATAATTAAATGAAGAGATGATCGAACCTGGATTATCTGCCTGGAATCTGATGACAGACCAGCCTCCGAATGGAACAGCAACAGTGTTACGAATCTGAGGATCTTTAAGATTGAACTTGGATTCATCTCTTGAGGCGTTGTAATTCCCAGTCCCTTGAGCCAAAACATGGAAATTGAATCCATGAATGTGCATAGGATGGTTCTCGGCTCCCAGTATTGCCGTGTCCTGAAACACAACCTGCACCGTCGAGTTGAACTTCAAAGTCTTCACCTTGGTCGATTTTGGAGCAAAGGCCAGAGCTTGAACGTCGTTAACGCCTGGATCAGTGTAGTTGAACACCAGAGGAGGCTGATCTGGAAAATCTTTGGTGTAAACTCCTGTGGCATTTCTGTAGAATGCATCCAACATGGAGAATCCTCGTCCTTCGGGAAGCACGAACGATTCGTTGTTCATACTCGCAGACAACCGCGTTCTATTATTAGGACCCCAACACGTGTTATTGGGGAGATTACAGTAGTCGAGGCCGAGCCCTACGGTAATGAACATGTGTTCGTCCACTTGTTCAGGAACTGGGACCCAGTGGGGGCCACCAACTAGCCCTGTGATGTTGAGGTAGAAGTTATTGGCCGTTTGTGTGTCGTTATGGGCAGGTAGGGTTGGCATCAGGGGTGTCTTTGAGGTGGATCCCTCGTAAGCGACAATGGCCGTCGTGGTTGAGTTGTTGGAGGTGAAGTTTAGCGTTTGGTAAGGAGTGGCAGCCATGAAATATGAGCCGACCGTTTGGTTGGCGGTCAGGAGGGCGTCGACGGTTTGGCCCGGCGCCACCACGATGATATCGGTGTGGTAGGGATTCGTATAAGCGGCGTCGACGGCGACGACGGTGAAGGTGTGACTTGCTATCTTGAAGAAGAGGTGCTCATTGAGTGCAGCATTGATAATGCGCAACAAGTAGGTCTTTCCATGGCGGACGTCAAGTTGGAATGTCTCTGTATGTATATTACATGAAAACTAAATTAATTAATACCATAGTAAGGCAAAAGCAGGATATATAAAAATTTGAGAGTGTTTAACTAAATATTATATGATTCATACGTACGATTTTGAGAGCAATTGTAGAGAGGTCCGGGCAAGCCATTAACGGTGAAAGCATCGGATATTCTTGGGGCACCACCAAATTCTACTGCTTCTTCCTCAACACCCATGACATTACGATCATACCACTCACCTGCAATTTTGAATCAAACTTCTCATCATTAGAAAATGTCTGTTTTATTTTCAAATGACTTTTTTAAAGGAAGAAAAAACTAAATATTATTAATTAATAAATATACCGACCCAATACTATGGGGACTTCTTTGTAAGGTGTAGGGAATGGGTGAGAGTTCCCCGAGCGAGGGCGAATGATGAGGGCTCCATAAACCCAAGCACGAAAGAAAGAAGAGTGGGCATGCCACCACAGAGTTCCTTCTTGTCGTGTTACATTAAATCTGTAAGTGTATTTTCCTCCTGGCAGAATTGGACATTGCGTTACGTATTCAGGACCATCTGCCCATTGGCTCATGAATTGAAATATTCCATGCCTGCGTTCGATAAAATGTTAAGCAAATCTCATCCAGTTTTATTAACAAATGCATGCGTTTGATAGGGAAAGTTTAGAATAATAATAATTACTCCTCCGGTCCTATATAGGACCCAATTGTTAAGTTGGTTTTGGTCCTAAATATAAGACCCATTTCTCATATTTATCATTTTTCTCTAAATTACCCATATGGATACTCCCTCAACCATAATCAAGTAGAAGAGAGAGAGGGGGTATTAAGAAAGATGATTATATTGTTTTAGGAAAAATGTGTCACATTTATTATAATTAACTAACTTACCTAACTTTCTTAATCTCATCAAATTAGTTAAATGGGTCTTATATTAAGAACCGGAAGAGTATATATTTATGGCAGAAATGTTGTGAGATGACCTTTCACCCAAGGAAAAAAAAGGTCTATATCAGTCAGTTCTTAAGGTCAAACTACACATGGCGTATGTGTTTGTCCTACGTAGCTTGCTAATCAAGGATTAGATTGAGCATATTGACCGGGGAGAAATATAGGGCAGAAATAATCAAGCATAGAAAAGTTTTTTTTTTCGCATGCATCTCTAAAAGTTGGCTGATTAATTTGACTAGATTATGAAAATTAGTTAAATTAGTTGTTTGTAATAAATATATATTATCTTTCCTAAAATATCATTACTAATTAATTATATTAACTAGCACTCACATTTGATGAAACCTTTAACATATGCAATTATTACATGGACTATCTTAGAAAAAATAAATAAATATAAGAAACAAAGCGGATTAGGATCTTATATTTAAGACCAAATTGAAAGTTAAATTAGTTTTTATATTAAGAATTGGAGGTAGTATATAAAAGCAAATAAAAATGAAGTTTAATTAAGTATATGTACCAATGAATAGTGAGATTGTAGGGGGACTTATTGACGGCGTGGATGACAATAGTGTCACCCTCTCGCACGTTAATGGTCGGCCCTGGCAGGCTTCCATTAACAGCAGCTATCACCCTTTCATTACACAGCCTCGTCACTGTCACGTTCGCGACCTGCATACGCCCAAACTCGTATTATATGTTGTCTAAATGAAACCTTATTTATGAAAAGAGAAAGTGATGATGGTTAATGTAAAAACATGTATTTAATGGGGCTGAAAATGAAAAGAGCAATTTAAAATTTCAGGAGAAAAAAAATTATTTATATTTCGAACCAACCTTATGTGAGTCATATATAAGACCGTACCTGAGGGAGTATATAGGTATGATCATATATTGAATGATGTAAAAGATATATTTAGAGTCAGAAGATCGTAATGAAGGATAAAAGAAATTAAGTATGATTAGATATTCTCATTATTGTGAAACAGAATCCAATGCTGATCGTTTAATCCAAACACATGCAAGCAGATATTTAAGTATATCGTCCATGGAAGAGATCATATAAGAGAATGAAGGAGCTTTTAGCACTTACTTCCCACGTGTATTCCACAACATCAGCAGAAACCAAAGAAGAAGAGGAAGCTAGAAGAGCAAGAGCCCATAACAGACACAACAACGATGAAGTTCTCATAATGAATAAGAGACAATGGTATATGAAGATTTTGTATATTTTAATGGATCTGTCTCTCTCTCGTGTTGTCTATATATAGAGTCCCTGAGTACTAATGCGATTGCGTGTTCAACATCATAATCCAATGGGCCTTCAGAATAAAATGGTGCTTTGAATTTTCGACTCATTACGTAGTCTAAACATTCATCATCTAATTTCGATCAGATCCTTTAAAAGTTGGTAACTAACGAAGAAAATTATATGGCTCAAGTAGAATATTGTGGCATTAAGCTGGTCAGATACTTTTTCTTTTACTAGACATTACCGTAATCTTTGAATTTCTGGGGCTTCTGACTCTGCCCCATATATATATATATATAATGAGTTTACCACCAAATTTAATCATACATATGCTGCCATAACAATCGCATCTTAATTATGATTTCCTGGTTTCAAAACGAGGGGACATCAACTTTTACCAGTTCACATTAAAGTTTAATATACATATCCACAATGTAATTATCTTAATTTGTTTTATTGTGGGAAAGAAGGAGGAAATTAACTGCAACGGAGCTAATTAATATCTTACGGGTCAACAACAATGTTTTAAAAAATTTGGCAAAAGATTTTACTTCATCAATTTGCTAGAACAATGCAACAATAGGTCATTGTAATTTTGCTTGAAAAAAATTATTATTTTCAATACATTTTACGCGTTCAAGCAAGCTAGGTTTCTAGCCAGTAATGAGGTCGGAAAAATTAGTGCTGAATATTTTCAAGCAGGTGCATTATATATTCATATTCACAGTAAGTTGGAAAATGCTGAAACAAGGGGCAGGAGCCATTAGTTGCTAACCCGCTAACTCTCAATTCAAATTCAAGAACGGAATCCCCCCCGGGGGAAAAATGATATTTAAATTATATGAATAAGACATTTCAATAAATACGAAGAATAAGAATAAATAATATCAATTTTCCCAAAAAAAGAATTAAATAATATAAATATTTGTTGTAAGATTTGCTGAAATTATACATATATTTTATTTTTAAAATCTCCAATTTCTTTAGATTATATAAACCTCTCTTCTATTTAAAATAAATAAACTTTGTGAGCCTCTTAAAAACAATTAAAAAGAGTAATTTATACAAAATTAAAGAAGTTGTATATTTGTTTGCTAGTTTTTATTAAAAAAACTTTACGCAATTTTAAAATATAATTTATATATGTTGCCTCTTTTCTTTCTATACGTTAATATTTTATCCATATGAGACCGAAATCCAGAAGCGAAACCACGTCTAGAAACAGAAGAAAAGAAAATGTGGATGGATTTGACCGATCCTCCGGCCAGCTAGCCTGCCTCGTATTTGTGTTAGGCAAACGTTGACAATTAAATTAAGAATTTGAATGAAATTTTTTTGAGGATATGGGGCAGTCTCCATTTGGAGATGAGAACGGCAACTGGCTCAGAGAGGACAAGTTTTGCCACTTATTAATTGCTCTTACTAATCTGCGCAATAAATGTTAATTTATGTATAAGCTCCAACAAAACAAGGATCAATGGCTTTTAATGTTACTTTAATGATCCCGTTTAAAGCATATTATGACAATCTTTGTTAGTGTTCCTCTAGAAATCAACTAATTAATTAGCATTCGAAATTTGTTTTCCTATTACTCCCTTTAGTTCATAATATAAGATGCTGGTTAAAAAAATTGTGGTTCAAAATATAAAATATTGTTAAAATAATTAATGTGATTTTTACACTTTCACTCATATTAAATATAAAAGAAAGAGGTGTGAGGTCTGAGATCATAAAAGCAAAGCATCAAATACGATTTTATCAATTTTTTATTGATAAAATAGGAAAAATTTATTATTTTAGGACATATTTAATGACTAAACTAGGGAATAGTATAGTTAGGTATAGTTAATTAACATCCCCAATACTATTCATAAAACCCATTTTTAGGACGAATTTCAATAAATTTCCTCAGTAGCCAAATAATATCAATCAAGCCTAAAAAATTTCTGAAATTTCACTGCACTCCCTTAACCAAGATTTTTTGTGTGAGAAAACAAAAGTATTCTTACATTGGTTGAGTTACAAATCACCGAATTTATATTACAAATCCTGAATTTGTGTTATAACTAATCAAATCTGAGCTGTAAATCCTTGCATATTTTATAAGCGAATGAATTAACAATTAAAATTTGGTGATTTAGAACAAGAATTTGGTAATTTACAACAAAATTTAGTGATTTGCAGCTCAAATAAGGTAAGGTTATTTTTTTTCTTCTGACAAAAAATTTTTGGTAAGGATATGCCGTGAAATTTTAGAATATTTTGGAGATTGATTGGTTATTAAAGGGTTTGTTGAAATTTTCTCTTTTTAAATTAAAGCTTTCGATCCATGACAGAAGACCTTTTACCAAATTTATGAATCATTTTTTGATTTTAAATAGCAAGATTCAATTACAAGAGTTGCGTATAATTAAATAGGATCCAGGCAGTCATAGTTAATTGATAAGGTCAAAATTTGGACTCTCTGTTACTTCAGCGTAACTTCTTACTTAAGGATTAAGATGGAAGAAAAGTCCTAAAGTAATTAGAGAAACACGGTTCCATCAATGAACAACAAGGCGGTAGGGACACTTGTTGAAACAAATTACTTCCCTTTCAAAAAAAATATTGAAGTATACGCATGACTTACTTTTGGAGCTTGAATATTGTACGTGATCCAATGCATATTGTAATCAAGATGCCTTTTAATTATATTGTAAGCAGTATGAGCCTATGGTGAATTAAGAAGTAATCCCTCCAGCTTTAAGCCTAAAAAATGTAAGAGGTAAATGATAATTTATATATTAAAAAAATTAGTTAAATTAATTATTTGTCATAAATGTCAGTTAGTTTTCTTAAAATACCACACTTCAATCATTATTCCCATTGTAGAAAACTACTTTCAATAAATTTATAAATTTAAAAGTTTGGGATATCAGTATACCATTTTAATTAGTTTAGGATACTAAGTGCACCAAAAATTATTTTAGGACACTGGGCGTACCTAAAAAAATAGTTCGGGGTGTTTGGCGCACTTTAACCTTGTATTAAAAGCTGAAAGGAGTGACTTTGTATTTTTAATGAATGTCCTTTTTGTTGGTATCATGCATACTTGTATGATGAGTTGATGATGCTTATAGTACCTACCCTTTATTTGTTCACAGACACATTTTAGTGATTTATGTTTGGGTGACTTATATTACGGACCATATACACTATATGATTGTGATTAATAATTTCAGTTTTTTTCATGATCATGATTATTTGATTATTCGAGTTATTGATTTGCCATTCACTGATCATCTAATTAAGGTCAGGGACTTCATAAGAAAACTTGGACACGCGTCTTGTGAGTTATGGAACCACACTATTTCTTTTCCTTTCTTCTAACAAATATAATCCTTAATACTATATGGGTAATGGTATAAATTCATATGGATTTTAATTGTATACGTATAAAAAAATAGTAGCTGAATTATTGAATAATGAATTAATTCTTTTTATCTTCATTTAATGATTTTTAAAATATTATAATATATAATCCACTGGGCTTTTGTATAATAAAGTAATCATGATGAATTTTGAAAGTAAGACATAAGAAGATATAATCCGTTATGTAGCTGGCAAATCGTTGAAGTTGGAGTAGAGTGTAAGAAACAATATCTGCTAGAGAAGAAACGTGCCAATTTCGGCATGCATATACCGAACCAATTTTAAACAAAAAAATTATCATCATCTGCTTTTTAGAGTAGTGGCTCAGGGCTTCGTTAATTCATGATGACCCTATAATTATGTTTATCCACCAACTATATCTTGATGTGCTACTTCACTATAATGATGAATAATTAGTTAGCTATATATATAAATATATATATATATATGTGCATGCATATGTATATATGTATAGCATCAAACAATACATGCCTCTTTTTTTTTGACGAATGCCAGCTCATTTCAGTTATTTCATTTAAATTGATATAAACATGAAATTGGATTCGATTGATCTGTGGTTATCAACTTTCTTATTACTATCTTTGCTCCTTAATATAAGAGCTAATTTAACTTTTATTTTGGTTTAAATATAAGATTGCAATCCACTTTATCTCTCATATTTATCTGTCTTTTTTTCCACGGTAATTCTTCTTGTAATAGTAGTTCTATCTAATGTACTTAATTAGCAAAGATATTTTAGGAAAGATAACACATATTTATTACAAATAACTAACTTAACTAATTTTTTTAATCTATTTAAATTAATCAACCAGTTTTTATATATATTAAGTACCGGAGGTAGTGTCTATATATAATTCGGTTTAAAACTTCAAAAAATTTAGTGTGACCAAAAAAAACTATGATTATTCATAATGATTATGTTTAAGTCAATATAGTGCTAATGATTATTTATAATTGTTGTAGGGATTAGTTTAATTAAGATGAATATAACTATGATTTTTTTAGCAAAGAATATGAGCATGATTCAGCTCATATGATAATGATATTCAGTACTACTTAAATTGATCAAACCAAAACTTTTATTGAGCCTACGTTAATACCATTTTCAGTTCATGAAATTTAAATCTTTTTTGATTTTGTTCTAAAATTTTAAATTAGTAATTTGGATGTTTGAAATTTGACTTTATTTTAGTCTGTCATTTGTCTAAAAATTTTATCCCTATAACGGTATTTTAGTCTCTGAACCAAGGTTTTAAGGACCAAATATTGATTTCAAATTTCATAAATCAAAATTAAAATGAGTTCAAATTTTGAAAACTAAAAATGATATGAATTCGTTAATTTTTGTCTAAAATGAGTAATATGAATATGATTTAACCACAACTGAATTTTTTCAATCCACATAAGCTGAAAAGGATAGATGGGTTTCTTAAAATAACAACCATATACTATCTCGTTTGCAAATTAAAATTGGCATCTAGAAACCGAAGAAATCGCATGGGTCTTGGACTTTTGTTAAAGCTATGGCCTTGTCGGTGTGCCAAGCAATAAATACATCGTGAAGTTCTACCTGATTGAAATAATCTTTTTCAAGAAATTTTATTCTGTGTATTATTTGATCATAATTAGATGTAATGAAATAATTTTGAGATCTGTTAATATTTTCATAGGGAAAAAAGAACAACATTAATTAATTATATTATTGTTTTATAAAAAGGGAAAATGACTATATTCAAATTAATATAAAGGCGGTGATGTGGATTGTGGACGCTGGTTGTGGATCCGTGTGCGTGTTAACAATAGCTTTGAATTTTATTAATTTGCTTCTTCCTTTTTTTTCTTTTCTTTTGTTTTTTTTGCTAGATTAATTTGCTTCTTCGAACAAGGCAGTGAATAAATAATAGTTTTAAGCTTCTTTCAAATTCTTAACATTATTTTTTTCCCTCAACAGTTCTTCATAATAATTCTTGCGATAAGACATCCTTAATATTAATTTTTTTTTGGACGAAATCCTTAATATTAATTTAATTTTATCATTTAGACACAATTACTGCTATTCGTAACAGCAAGTAAAATATATAAAGCACGCTTTTAGATGATCAAGAAAGCTAATTCGTTCAATTGAATAATCACCTTTTTTAATTTTAAAATTCAAAATTGATCATTTTTCTCAATCAAGCAAAAGTCTAAGAAGTTGGAGTCCATTTGATCTAATGAACTAGCGACTACATCGGATGTAACATTATGATAGCTACATATAAAGTGCACCGACTTTTGCTCAAAAGAGGCTTAATTAGTCTTGGTCAATGGATTAATTAGACCGAACATAATTACCACAGAGTGAGGAAAACAAGAAACTTGTCCTTGAATTCTTTTTTGCTCCATATTGCCGGGTTTGTAGTAATACCTTAATTAATCATTGGTTGGAAGAAAAAAATTAATCATCGAAATGAATATATTTCTTAAAAATCAAAAAGAAAAATTGATGAATCTGATGACTTTTGGAAATATAAAATTCTCGTTAACTAATATGCAATCAATCTTTTTAATTTCTAAGTCAGATTAGTTATTTATTTTTTCATTCTCATCATTTTCCGACTTCTGAATGATTTAAATTAAATATGAATACCCAGATTTAACTATGATTCTAATATCTTATGCTTAATGCAGAATAAATTTTTATTTATTTATACGAAACAATGTCCTATAAAATAAAATAGGACCAGAGAAGCAAGTCTGTAGAGGACCAGTATATCAGCGGTGCACTTAAGTCTAAGTCCAAATATTGTACTAGTACGAAAGAAACTGATAGGGCGATTTATTTATATATATGTATATGCAATTAATCTTAGATTAGTTGTAATTATCCATTTTGTATGGGAAGTTCATATATTCAAATTAAACTTTTTAATTAACTTTGTTGTTTTCAAGTTCAACACGTTCTTATCATGCTAGCTAATATCCTATGGAGGCTGTCATAATTAAGTAGGGTTGACGCGTATATGTATAAAGAAATTTCAGATAACCTTTTTGACTAGCGAATCAAAATTACTCCTCCGATCTTTAATATAAGACCTAGTTGTTGAGTTAATTTTGGTCTTAAATATAAGATCCATTTGTCATATTTATCAATTTTCTCTAAATTACCCTTATGGATACTCCCTCAACCATAATCAAGTAGAAGAAGAAGAGGGGTTATTAAGAAAGATGATTATGGTATTTTAGGAAAAATGTGTCATATTTCTTATGATTAACTAACTTACCTAATTTTCTTAATCTAATCAAATTAGTTAAATAGGTTTTATATTAAGAACCGGAGGAGTATCTGATTAACAGATAACCAATTACGTATTTGGCTTTCAATTGAATTTTGTGCATCCCGTTGGCAAAAAAGAAAAAAAAAAGTTGTGTTTTCCTCTTAAATGCATAACAGACACACATATACGTAAGGGCTAAGGCCAAGCATGACCAGTTTCTTAATCTATTGTTCCCTCCTATTTTATATATGAGTAACAGCTAATCAAATTACGTAGATTAAATAATTAAAATGGTAGTTAAAAGTAATGAAGGTGGTTATTCATAAGTTATGTGAAACTTTAAAGTTATAAATTAAATTTCGTTACTTTTTTGGGACGTAATTCATAAATAATACTCCCTCCGTTCCTTATTATAAGAGACATTTGATGCTTATACCATGTTCCTATATATAAGAGACACTTAAAAGTTGTCTCTACTTTTTTGTGTTGATTTCCTATTTTACCCATATTTATTGTCTCCAACTCACACTCTCTCTCCCTCTCACTTCTCTTTCTTTCAATAATTTAATTATTCCCTCTCATGCTCTCTCTCCTTATTAATGAGGGCATTTTTGGAAAAAAAATTATATTGATTGTTCTTAACTAATTTTAACTGATTTTTTTATCAACGTAATTCGGTTATTCGTCTCTTATAATAAGGAACGGAGGGAGTACCATTTAGAACACGATATAGTGAAGATTAAATTTAAATACTCTAAATTAAACCATTAAAACTTCAAGGGAAGATTCAATAATGTGGCTTAACAGACTCCATAATGATTGCCACTAATTATGGTGAAATTTGTCTGATCATGTCAACTAATAAAATTATAACAGTATTGATGGTTATTCAATCCATCCTGACAATATTTCTTACTCATAATTATATTCATCATTGTTTATATAGACTAGAAGAGGAATGTTTCTGCTAACCTCTCTCTCCACTTCCTCTCACTATGTTTCCATCATCTGATCAAATTTCAATGGCTGAGATTTATCTTATAAGAATATTATTAAAATATTAAAAAGTAGATAAATATATTTATCCTGTTAAAATTTGATATAAGAAGTTTAAAGTGGTAAATTTTATTATATTTAATATTATAATAATATTTTAACTCAGTTTAAATCTCAATCATTGAAAGTTAATCTAATGATAGAGAGACTAAGTGGAGAGGAAAAAGAAAGAAAAGTTAGTGGAGATATTCTTCTTTCTATATAGATTAGTTTCTCATTCTGGATACAAAAAAGGAAAAAAAAAATTCAAATCATAAGGCGGGCATTAAATTTGCAATTGCAGTAATTCAAATCATAAGCCAAATAATATATTCAAAATATCCACTGAAAAACATTATATAATCTATACGGAAAAAACCCATCATAACCATAAAAATTATAATATTATTATAACGATAAGTAAGGGAAATTTATAAACTTTTAATAAAATAAAGGGATAATATATCGGGATATATAGGACTGAAATAGGATACTCTTGTCCCATGCATTGTCCCATTCCTCTTTTGGTCTATCCCGTCCCAAAATGAGTAGCACCGAAACAGGATGTTGGGATGAGACACAATTAAACACTCCTAATTAAGAGCAAAAGCAGCCTAATTTATAAAAGCTTTATATTATAGCTTATAAGGCACAAAACCTTTGAAGCAAACGCCAAAGTCGAAATTCAACACTAAAAGCCGCAGAGAAGATAAGAGGAAAGCACAGCACAAGAAGTTCCCATAACAATACTTACATTAATTAATTTCTTTATATTCATTATGTTAATTGTTCATCAAATCTCCAATCACACATGATCATATATCCGATTTTTAAAGTATTAACATTCAATAGTATTTAATTATAAATCCACATAAAAAAACAAATATCCATATATGATTGAAGAACTTGACATAATGAATAAAAAAAACTTAATCTAAGTTTTTTTCCCATAATTATTTTATATATATTGCGCGTGGAATAAAACGGAGAACCAATTTGCTACTGACATACTAACACTGTATATAATATTTTTTACAATGACAAATAGTTGAAAAGACGTGGATATATTGTAGCATGAAGAGACATCATTACATACACTTGGGAAGAATATGAGCCCCCTGCCAGTTATACACAAGCGAATCAGAGAAATTAAATTGACAGTGAACTACGAAAAAAAGTAGAAAATGATTCCACTGAGATCTTAATTGTCTCCTCACTGTTATGAACAAATTTGAAGAAGAAGAATAAGAAGAAATAAACTTGACATGTTTGTAGGTATTTTGAGACAAGCAGAGGATGAAGAGAGGCAAGAACTAGCACAGAGGGAGATCAGCAGGAGGAGGAGGCACTGAGGTTTCAGGAGTGGGCCCATTCTCTACCTCAAAGGCCATGGCTAGCCCCCACGGCACGTGCACGTCCACATGGCAATGCACGAACCATATACCTGTAAGTCAACGTACACCACCATTAATTTCCATCACTAGTGCTCTTCGTCTTATTTAATTTACTGACTCCTAGTTTACTAATTTAAAGAAATTAAAAAAATTAGTTATGTTAGTTATTTGTTATAAATAGATGTTATTTTTTTAGAATACTTTTACTAATTATGTATATTAGTTACAACTACCATTTGATAAAACTTTTAATATATACAACTACTATAAAGATTACTTTAAAAAATATGAATAAACATAAAAAACAAAATGGAATGAGATTTTATATTTAATACCAAATTAAAAGTCAAATAAGCTCTTGTAATAAGAAACAGAAGTAGTATAATACTACTTCCAGTCTTTAATATAAGACCTTATTTGATTTTTATTTTGATATTAAATATAAGACCTCAATCCACTTTATTTCTCATATTTATACAATTTTTCCTAAGATGGTCTCTCTAATAATGGTAGTTCTAACCAATATACTTGATTAGCAAGAATATTTTAGGAAATATAACACTTATATGTAACAAATAACCAACTTAACTTGTTTCCTTAATTTTTTCAAATTAATTAACTGGCTCATATATTTAGGACTGGATATAGTATAACAGAGAGAGAGAAGATTCCTGTTTAATTAGAAGTCTATAGGATTAAAAAATCATATCAATTATTCATAATATAATAAACTAGCCTTCTTTTCTAAACAGATGAACATTACCGGGATTGTTGGCTTTGAATCTGATCACAGCCCATCCTCCCGTGGGCACAGCCACGGTGTTACGCCTTTGAGGATTCACCATATTCAACTTTCTGCTGTCCCTCGTCCAATTGTATACCCCAAACCCTTGCGCCAACACGTAGAAGTCGAACCCATGGATGTGCATTGGGTGGTTCTCTACCCCCACAAATGCTGTGTTCTGAAACACAATCTCCACCGTCGAACCGAACTTCAACCTCTTTACCTTCGTTGATTTCGGTGCGAATATCCTTGACGAGTCAAATCTTGTGTCTGGGCTTACAAAGTCAAAGAATTGAGGAGGAAAGTCAGGGAAATCTCTTGTGTACACTCCTTCTGGCTTGTTTCTGAAGAATGCTTCCAACATAGACATTCCTCCATCGCTTGGAATCACAAACGACTCGTTGTTCATGCTTGACGAGAATCTTAACCCTTGTGGGCCCAAACACGTGGCGTTGTTTGCGCAGAAGTCTAGGTTCAGCCCAATAGTTATGAACATATGTTCGTCCACGTGGAGCGGGCAATCGGTCCAGTGAGGCCCACGGACAAGCCCAGTTAGCTCCGTATAGAACCTGTGGGCCGTAGGGGTGTCGTGGAAACCGGGCATTACAGGCATCAGAGGTGAGGTTGCGCCGGAGGCCCTCTTGTAAACGACAATCCCTCTTGTTGTCGTATTGTCGAACTCTGCACCTATTGTGGTCACATATGCGGAAGAAGCCATGTAGTAAGAACCCACCGGCTGGTCGGCTTTTAGGAGGACGTCAGTGGTTTGGCCAGGGGCGATGACGACCACGTCGGTTTCATAGGGAGTCGTGTATCCGGCATCGACAGCGACAACTGTGAACTTGTGATTGGCCACCTTTAAGAACATCTGACTGATGAGATTCGTGTTGATTATGCGTAACAAGTATGTCTTCCCTTTCTTCACCTTGAACTTGAAAATAGCTGTATTATGAACATGCACGTAATAAGAAACTAATAGTGAAGCAAAAGATTTGAAAAGATATGTGTGTGTGGGGCAAGGTAGATGACGTACGATCTTGCGGGCAATTGTAGAGATCACCAGGCATGCCGTTGATTGTGAATGCATCGGATATAGGAGGAACGGCACCGGTAACTTGAATTTGATCGAAAATTTGGTTGATATCAGATTTCCACCACTCACCTGCGGTTACCCATGTTTTTTTTTTAATAAATGTTTTTGAGAATCAATGAAAATATATAGGTTGAATACTTGTACGAAAAAGGAAAACGAGTAAATGATACAGTAGATATGGTAATAAAAGCATACCTAATATGATGGGGACTTCCTTGTGAGGTTTAGGAAAAGGATAACGGCGACCAGTTCGAGGTCGAATGATAATTGCACCATGAACATAGGTACGAAGAAAAGCAGTGTGGGCATGCCACCAAAGAGTGCCTTCTTGTCCTGTGATTGTGAACCTGTACGTATACTTATGACCTGGTCGGATAGGACACTGTGTTACATATTCAGGACCATCCGCCCATTGGCTCCTCATTTGAAAAATCCCATGCCTGCATATTTTATGAATGGATTAATTAATTAGTAGTAAATCATTTATATCTAGAAGGCAGTGGCTGTCACTTGGATGTTCAATCAATTTGATTATTCTTCACCCTATATATTCCAGCTTGAAGGAGATTCACGGATCAAGAAGAGAACTGATGGAAATGCTATTGTCAATTTAAAACTAAGTTCTTGTTTGCGATCAAATCTGACCAAAAGTACTGTAAATTGTTCAACAATTTTCTTTGTTAGTCTCCTAGCGACACAAATGGACATTTGGCGAACATACGACCAATTATATATGATTATGAGTATTGGGTGAGCTAAATTATTATGTTGGTTTTCGTTATATATATAATTAAATTTTCTTAGGTTTTTCCAAGTGACATTTGCATCAACATATATAGGTATGGATGGCTGAAAAATGTTACCAATGAATAGTAATATTGTGAGGAGAACCGTTGAAGACGTGAATGACCAAAGTGTCATCCTCTCGTACGTCAATTGTGGGACCAGGAACCCTTCCGTTAACTGCAGTTATAGTTTGTGTATTGCACAGACGACTCACATTGAAATCCTTGACCTGAAATCGTATGAAACCTAAGTATTAATAATTATTTCGCTAATAAGATTAAAAAATTTATCTCTCCCATTTGCACAATGCTCAAAAGAACCTTAACAGTATAGCTTACAATGAATGAATGTTCCACTACAGCAGCAGATGCGAAAAAGGAGGAAGCTAGCAAGGCAAAAAATGAAAACACCAGAAAAGCTTTCATCTTTGAGGGCGATCGAGAAGATATTAAAGCCAAGAAAAACCTTGCGTCAGTCTGAGACTATCAATATATATGAGAAGGAAAGCTAAGAAGGTAATTGAAAGAACAAATAATATCCGAATCTGTGTTTGTGTTCTCTTCAGGCAAGGTCGCATGATGCATGGATTGATACATAAGAGGTATATATAGTCAGAGTCTCAGAGATATAAGGAGATAGTCAGCGCGTATAGTACCTGTAATTTCCATGATTGCGTGTGCATTTTGAATATATTGTTATTAGTTGAATAAAGATTTGATCCAATGGGTTCTCGAGAAGCATTTCTGAAAGCTGAAGGTTTGTTTATCTGCAGAACAAGCTGGAACGAGTCAGAAAAATGTTATTTTAGTAGAAATGATAGTGTACTTGAACCCATTTTGGGATTAGTTAATCACTCAATATGTCTGTCCTAGCTAGTATCGCTTTCAAACTCTGAATTTTCTGTGCTGCTTCCCCCTCCAAGAATAGGTCAGCACTTAGTTTTTGTTGTTGATGAACGACGATTGTTGATAAATGACGACCTCTCATAATTAAGTGCTGAATCTATTTATTTCATGAGCTATGAAGATCAGAATTGGATATCAGCTCATATGCCCTTTAACATGCAGCACTCAAAAAAGGTAGAGATGTTAATTTACTACTTTATTATGGCTAATCCTATGTTAACTATTACCTTCGCAAATGTTAGGAGAGTTTGAATATAAAAAATATATATAAACTAGTAAGGGTTAAATTTGATTCTAAATATAATAACATAATCTACTTTATCCAACATATTTATCATTTTTTTCTAGACTAATTTACCTAACTTATTAATAGATATACTCCTTTAGTCCTATTTATAAAATAGAGAGAGAAGATATTTTTTTGTCTTATTTATAGGGTACTGAGAGAAATTTTTTGTATGGATGTATAGTTTTACCTTTCATTTATTATTGTGTTGACTTTGTTTACATGAGGTATAATACATATTAAATAGGAATCAAGTTGGAAAGTTATTAAATTTTAAATGAGAATTAATGAAGTTTAAGGTTACTTTAATAGATGTAAAACATACTAAAAGTACCTTATAATTATAGATAGGACCAGAGGAGTATGATATAATGTTATGTAGGGCTAATTTAAGGAAACCACGTAAAATTAGTTAACTATTATATTAAAGATAATATTACCTCTGTTTCTTAATATAAGAGCTGGTTTAATATTTAATTTTTTCCTAAATATGATACCCTAATCCACTTTATCTCTCATATTTATTTTTTCCAAGTCCTTCTTATAGTAGTTGCTTATGTTGAATGTTCCATCAAATGATAGTTTTAACTAATATATACAATCAGCAATGGTATCTTAGGGGAAATAACATCTATTTATAACAAATAACCAACTTAACAACTTTTTTAATATCTACTCAAATTAGTCAACTAACTCTTATATTAAGGATCGAATGTAGTATTGTTATTATTTATTTGATTTGATGTCATTTTATGCATGTGCTAAAGAAGTCATAAAAAGTATAGCAGAAGGGGTTAATCCTCACAATGTAATAAACCAAGGTTTTTAATTTCTGTTAGAAGAAGTATTAACATTTAGTATTTGATAGTATCTAAAATAAGGTTGCTGTTAAAAGAAAGATATCAATGTGTAGGGGGGAAAAAACAAGAAGAAGTCATAGATCCTCACCTAGGAACACATCTCTAGGCAGTACACTTTACAGTTAAAATTAAAATGCTTTCAAGAAAAAAATAACCAGGTGATATAGAAATATGAAAAGGCAATTTGGACAAAATATTTAGTTACGTCTATATAAAAATATAATCCACATATACAGTAAATCCTTTAAACTCTTTAGCATTATTATATACTACAGACAAATTCATAATCAAATCTCTAGTTTTCTAAATTGGTTGTTTGTAATGCAAATCTCTAATTTTGAAGGAAACTCGGGTGAAGGAGAAGCAAAATTTAAATATGATTTTTTATGTTTATAAAAATAATATAACGTGGCATAATAATGTTTTATTAGCGTAACGTGCACAACTTTGTCAAAATAATTATTCAGCTTAATCTGACTTGAGCTAGAAAATTCGCCGAAATTGCTTCAACAAATGAAAACAAATCTGAAACAAAACAAATCCAAAAGCGTGTTAGTTAATATTTATAAACAGTTCAGCTAATTCACGTTAACCATGATTTATATTCAGCTCTTAGCATCGCGGGAATCGCTCCCCACCAAATGAGCAATTAACAAATATGTGTGTATATATTACCTCCGATCCTTAATATAAAAATTAGTTGACTAATTTGAGTATATTAAAAAAAATTAGTTAAGTTAGTTATTTGTAATAAACTGGTATTGTCTTTTCTAAAATACCTACCAGTGTTGTCTTTTCTAAAATAACCTTGTTAATCACATGTACTAGCTAGACTTATCATTTGATGAAACGTTTAACACGTACAACTACTATAAGAATTAACTTAAGAAAAAAATAGATAAATATGACAGACAAAATATATTAGAAATTTGGAATCTTATATTTTAGATTAAATTGAATATCAAACTAACTTTTATATTAAAGATCGATGGTAGTATCATAAACATGAAACTGCATATTCCTTTTAAAGCATTTATTTATTATAAGTTTATAATTAACAACCACGCAAGCATTATTGATTACTTCAAGTTTGAGCATCCTTGGGTCCGAAATAATGTGTAAATTTTATATTGTGATTTTTTTTTTCTTCAAGGTTTATAGTCAAAATTTAAAAGATATTGAATATTTTGATGATTTTTTTCCATTATATTTCAAACAGGTACAGTATGTTGTTTCAAGATTTGCTTGGGTCATCCTTATAATCGTTACGTAGCCGTTGACAATATTTTTTAGTTTATCCGAATTCGCTTTTGAATGTTTCAAAGCTTTCATTCTAAATCACACTTCGTCATACCTTTTAACGCCAATTAGTAAGTGGTTTGGATTAATCATTAGTTAAATGATAAGTTTGTGCGACCAAAGACGAATAAAATATTGAGCTTTAATTAGATGATTTAACATGCTTACGCTAGGCAATGAAAATTAAGCTCGAGTCCAAGGTTGTTTTAGTCTAAGTCTTACTAATTCATACTTTGGACGGGTTCTTCAATTCTCTCATTGAAAATTAATTAAAAATGATTTTGCCATTTGAATTGCTGGTTGTTTCCGTTGCAAAGTGCTAATGATGAAGGAATGATCTACTCTTCTAGACGTAACAAATGGATTAAGCTCTGAAGGCACATCAACATATCTAATAAAATCCTATGACATTATTTTGATCTACCTACATTATTATGATATTATCTCTAATCCTTGAAGTGTGACCCTATTTTGGTTTTGATTCTTGAGCCAGTAATTTTGATCTATGAAATTTGACATAATTTTAATCTACCTAAAGATGTTTTGTCCCTAAATAGTGTTTTTGGTACCAAAATCACTTATTTTAAATTTTAAGAATCGAAATCAAAATGAGGTCGAATTCAAGAATTAAAAATAATAGTATTAATCCTAAAATAAATAAACTATGTACTCTCTCAATCCGATTCAAAATATAAATATAAAATCTTTGAAGGAGCTTGGTTTTTTTTTTTATATAAGAATCAATTGGGATTTGTATTATTCAATGCTTTTTTTATTTTTACCCCTAATTAATTATATGTCTCTCTCATGTCCTTTTTCATTTATTCTCTCTATCTCTTTTGCCACTTATTATCTCTCCCATTCACGCTCTGTATAAATAAGGGTATTTAAAAAAAAATAAGTTACATTTTTTTTTTCATGTTTTGACTTGCGTAATTTAGTTATTTGATATTTATATTTTGAATCCCAAGTAATAGGTTATAGGCTAATTACTATTTATATGCTTGGCATATCCTTTTTATAATTTGATTTACTTTGGTAAGACATACTCTTCTAATTCTATTTATAAGCACTCCTAACATGTTTAATACAAACTAAAAAAATTTAAATTATATTAACCCTCCATTAAAATGTAATAACTTTTTTACTTTGTCCCTATTTAATATATACATCTTTTTTAAAAAAATAACTATCAACACTAAAGGAGTATATCACCAATATCATATGTTAAAGGCAAGCACTAACTTTTCTTAGGTACCGTTGAGAACAGGATTTTTTTCATCTAGCTATATATGTATGGATGTGTGTGTGTGTGTGTATAACTTTGGTAACTTACACTTCTTTTAAAAACCATGATATTAGGTGTGAAAATAACCCTCCCTCATGTATATATAGTTTAATGGGATGTTTTGGAAACCCCTCAAAAGTAACTAAAAAACTGATTTTACATAAGTTGACATAAAATTTTCCTCACATATTTGCCTCAAACTCTGTAAAATAATTTTTAAAAAACCAATCCAAACACTCCTCTTAGACTAATAATTATCTTTTTATTATAAATGTTAAAATTTTATGTTCAAGTATTTTCTTTTTCTTTTTTATCAATACCGAACATATGCTATTTGATTCTGGAGAAAGCTCATCTCATCCCTTTTTCATTTCAATATAATTATCCTTTCCTAATAAACATTACCATTGTACCAAACTTGGCATTAATTAAGTGGTAACGCATAAAGCCTGATTTGGTCGTATTTATTTTATAACTCATTAATAATTAATCAATCTTTTGGACTTATCACTTAAAACGACCGTGGAAGAGAAAATGGGCGAATATATCTTTTTTTTTTTTTGTGACGCCGATATGTTGCCAACAAAAGCTTTTGTCTTGGGAATAGAACCCAACTCCCATATGATATATGCTCATCATAATATGGTGATTAGCTTGTTACGTGATACCTCCAATTTTAATTATAAGATCTTATTTATTATCTATAAATAAAATTTTATAATTAGGATGGGCGGTGGTAGAAGCAAACTGATGAGGTTATCATAGATTATTTTATATCAAACCAGGC